GTGACGTCACGGTCCTTGATTTTAATCTATTCATAAAGGGCTTTTGAACCGCTCTTAGTCTGATCCATCACCTAGGACCTGTTTGCCTTGGGAGACCCTACCAGGGACATATAGCCCCCGACAACATAGCTCCTAGGATCACTTGGGTGCTCAAACCCCTCCACCACAATAAGGTGGTGGTTCAAGGAGGGGATAATGTGAATATGAAGATATAAAATTGTAAGATATATTTTAGCAGCATGTGTGAGCTTGCTGATTTAGCAGCTGATTTTGAAATGATGCTCCTAATGCTGTTCTCACCCAGGAGGAAGTTTCCAGGCTCGAGGAAGAGGAGGAGATGGGACTGAAGGTCAGCTTTGAAGATGCAAACCAGCTCAACATCCCTGTGAAAACACTCTCAGGGAGGTGAGTGGTGCACACCAGAAACCATATTTGACGCCCAATTCTGGAATGAAAAGCAGCATTTTGTTGCATGTGTTTAGTGAGGTATCAAGTGTATTTATTTATAATTGCACAATAGTTGGACCTAAAATGATATCTTTGAATATGTTTTATTATTATGTCTGATGCAAAACATCTCAGCCACATGGCTGCATTCTAACCCTGCTCACTGATACTCAGACAGCGCATGGCCACAACTGTCAGTCCTCAGCTATATAAAAGAACACACTGTTTTGTGTGCTGTGATCTTTTTTTATTTTGAGGGTAAACAATCCATGATAAAATGTATGTCTTGATGAAATTATTGTATTCTTGTCTAACTAATCAACTCGTGCCAAATAACTCGCCTCTGATGCAAAAGGCCCCCATCTCTTCATACATGTTAGCACATGTGGCCTGTCTGGCCAGCATTTTGTTTTCAACTGATTTATATGCATGTTTGTGTCTGCTTGTCTGAACTGTCCTGCCCTGAACCACACCTGCCTCTTTGTGTTCATGTTTGTGTGTGTTTGCATTTGCATGTGCAGTAGCTCTGATTCTGTCCCCTTGGTTGTAAATATCTCCGCTGAATTGGCCAAAACCGCAGTGTGGAAAGCAGTGAACTCGAATGCAGAGACTTGTGCCCAACCTGAGAAGCGTAGCCATCTGCTGGAGTTCTCCAGAGCTCCTGCTCCAAGCTTTAATATGATGACATAATGTTGACAGAAGAGATGACCTAATATTCTCTATTATAATTTGGTATGCTTAGTGTTGCAAATCATTTTATGCAAAACATTTCTACAGAAATGTAAAAATGATTATATTCTATGAAGTTATTATTTTGCTAAGTGCAGTCCTGTTATAGCAATAAGTATTCCCCGAAATGCGATGGGTGGACTGATGAGCTTAGGTAATATTCAGGCAAAGAATAATTTGTGGATCAATTTTAGCAGGTTTCATCATCTCTGTCTGTGTGTAGCTACAGTGACTGTAAGGACAGTAGCTTACAACTGTATCTCAGGCAAGTTTTAACACTCTGCAAGATTATTTTCCATACAGGAATGAAATTTAAAAAAATCTTGTTGTTGCCTGGAAAGGACAGATTCCTTCTTGTCTCCTTCAGCTCCTGAAACTGGTAATTTGAGGAATACTTTTATTTCAACATGCGATTGATGACACTAGTCTGACTAGTTAATAAGGAAACCCATAAGAATTTGAACACAAGTTGACAAATTTTATCCAGGATTGTTGCAATTAGGAGCTGCATAATTTAATCAGTCAACAACAAGATGTACTGTAGGTGTTGTTCAAAGAGTACTGCCAACCCAGCACTATCGCTCCTCAACCTGACAGAATCTCACATCCGCCGTTGCTCTCCACCCTCAGTGACACTATAAATTTTCAGAAGCACTCACCTTGTCTTCATCTCTGCATAACAGGCAGGAAAAGGTGGCCTGCGTTAGAGTCGATGTCAGTCCGGACACATCTGGAGGAGGCTCCAGTACTGAAACTTTCCTGTGATTAAGGGTGGGCCTCCTTCCCTCCTGATACCTTCTCCCACACAACACTTCACCCTGCTGATGGGCATCATCTTAGTGGGAAAGGGCAGCAGGCGAGCTTCCCCAGAGTCCTTGGTGTGCAGCACATGTACGAATGGCTGCCATGATGTACTGTAGAGCACACGTCTCGGAGGAATGAAGGAAATCTGCTGTTAACTGCCCAGCACTGTTCACTATTTACAGACTGTCAATCTAGCAATTTCTTCTCACCCATATAAACCACAGATGCCAAAGGAAAGGGCCTCACTGGTGGGGATCTAGGACTGTGTGAGTCGAGTTTTATTTGAATCTGTTGCACATTTTAACTTCATTTTACTGTTATTGTTTTAGCTGGTCACTGCACCGTGCGTTTTTGGTTCTTGTATCTCATACACTGTGAGCTGTTCTGCACTGTTTGTTTTTGGGTATTTTAGGTCAGACTACGACCTTTCACTAAACTACACCAGCTTCAAGACTCATTAGATTAAAGCCATTCAGATACTGTTAGCACTAGACGATGATGTTTTATAATTGGTCTGGCACAATAAGTGACACAAACCAAAACAGAGAAACATTATAGATACTACTACTGCATACATATTTCTACGGGGGAACACTCAGTGTTTGTATTGCTGCTCGAACGTTAGTCACTGTAAACCTCACCTGTCATATTATACATGTACTGTATATGTTGTTATAGAATACTATATGTATGCATCTGTATTATCTTTCATTTGTAACATTATAGAAAACCTACTTTCGAGGCCATATGATGTCTGTACTGTATAGTAAGCACTTTGCAAGTATAGTTTCTTACTTAAAATGAATTATAGTGTGCTTAAAAGAAAGGTTACTTCACCTCCCACGGTATCATTAGAGCTGTTCTTCAAATGTCATTTAAACAACTCAGGAATCTTGAGGGATTTCTGACTGTGGTCACTTGATATTTTTCTCACAAGGTAGCGATAAATAACTTCGCTGTTCTCATTTCATTGCTGGTATGTCAGCTATTTTAATAAATGCTGTAAATCATAAAATATAATGAGGTGAAAAAATAGAAAAGACCATTTGTGACCCCAGTTAGTTGCACCTGTTTTTATACTGTGTTATCGGTAGTGATGGTGTTTGTGTAAAAAAAAAATAATAATTTGGTATGTTTAGTGTTGCAAATTATTTTATGCAAAATATTTCTACAGAAATGTCAAACTGATTCTATTCTATGAAGTTGTTCTTATTTTGCTAAGTGCAGTCCTGTTTTAGCAATAAGTATTCCTGACAGTGCAATGTGTGGACTGACAAACCTAGATAATATTCAGGCAAAGAGTAAGTTGTGAAACGATTTTCTTGTGTTTCATCATCTCTGTCTGTGTGTAGCTACAGTGACTGTAAGGACAATAGCTTATGTGCCTTGTCGAAGCTCTTTATGTGCTAGTCTTGTACTGATAATTTAAGTGTTCAAAACAGATGTACAGGTACACACATGATGGCACACAAATGCCAAAGACAGACCATCGTTACGAGAGTGAACCAGTACAGAGGACAGAGGCTCGTCTGTCGTCGTGTTTACTCCATGTCTGTGTGAACGTCGTAGCCTCAGCCACCGACTTAAACGGTGTAGCTTATCTTCCATTTACAAATGTAACTAAATATTGTTCCGTGTGCGTGTTCTACTGTCACAGCTCTAGTATTTGCTCACAACATAAAAGCTCTGTAGTCAATATTGATGTACTGGTTTGTTGAATGATCACTGAATGTAAAATTCTTGTACCATCAGCATGAAAAATGAAGTCAGTGACATTTTACCATTGAAATTCTGGAAAATCTGTCATATACGGTTTTTGCCCAACACATAAAGACCATCTGATATAAAACAAACCAAGTTATCAGTGCAATTGTCACTAAAAAGTGAACATCGAACAAGTACTTATAATTTTGTAATATTTATTTTTGATTTAATAAGACCCTAATTTATCTTAAACAATTTAATTATCAATGACAAGAAGATGGAAGTTGACCTCCATCATCGCACCAACGTCACACCTATTCAAACTGCAATTTTTTCTGATGTACATACACAACCACAGTGAAGCACAGAACATCCTGTTACCTTGAATGATGACTTTTCTGTCATGGCCGATGCAAAGCAATAAAAGTGTAAACATGGC